CTGCTGCCTCATGATTTTGCGGTCCTCCCAGCATCCATCCCAGCAGATCCTCTCTCCATGGTTTTGTGAGAGCTTGACAGAAGGCTTTGGGCATGACAGATAACATGGCTCATTTGATTAAAAAGATGACTACACTGAATAAATATTGAATGTGTTTATAAGTTAATACTTAAACATAAATAGTCCTCTCTGCGGGCACTAGAGTTGAGTTTGTCCTTTAACATAAGATATCAAAAGGGATGAGTTGAGTTTATCTCAGGAGCTCAGACATTAGAAAGCACCTTAGGTTAATAAAGCAAAGAATGAAGTTTGAGGGCCCATTCTGAATAACCCATTCCCAACAAGTGGCAGAAGGGAAGGGCTGCTGCCAGGAGCCCTCAGCTGCTACGGTGCTCTCATTGCTCGGGGCCAGCCCCGTGGTTTCCTGGAGGCGGTGGCAGCTAACGGAAGTCAGAAATGTAGCAATCTCCTATTGCCTGAGTTGCTGAGATATGACAGGCATTTCTAACTAAGTCTGGAAGCCATGCTTGTGGTGAAAGCAACCCCTTGGTAAAAGCAGTGATTGCAAAATGGAATGATGCAATTCCAGAGCTGAGCCTGGCCTCGGTAGGTGGCAGAAGTGGGCTGCTGAGGTTTCTGGTGCTCTTATTTTGGTCTTTGTTAACTCATATAACATCTTCCTGTATGTCAGGTTTCAGTAGTGGAAGAACCAGTTGAGCATCTTTCAAGGAAACTTAAGAGGGTTGATGTATTGATAGGTTCCCCATGACCATCCTCTGGTTTATTGATTCACCAGGACTCATAGAACTCAGAAAAGCTGTTTTACTCCCAGTTATGGTTTTATAGCACAAGAGTACAGACTAAAATCAGCAAAGGAAAAGGCTTCACAGGGAGGAGAAACCAGGAAATCTGCCTTTGTAACTTCCAGTTGTCTTCTCTCAGGAGTGACACGAACAGCTCTTAATTCTCCCAGCAGCTGTGTGTGGCAATGCATCTGAAGTATATATCACCAGCTGGGAAGCTCAATAGATCCTTGGTATCCAGGTTTTGTTTTTTGGTGTGTGTGTCTTTTTTTTTTTTCATGTTTTTTTTTTTTTGGTTAGTGTTTTTGGCATGGAGCCTCAGTGTCTCTGATCTTAATCTCCAGCACTCCAGAGGTCAGACTGATACATTGTGATTCAGAGTCCCAGGTATTCACTTTAAATGACATTGCTGCCTAAACTATCTGTGACACAGAGAAACTCTTACCAGGCAACATATACCAGGAGCCAGCAGCTCCTACCCTGATGCTTGGCCTGTTGCTGCAGCCCATGGGCATGAGGCCCAGGCTGAGGCTGTCAGGGGTCTCCCCAGCAGGCCTCAGGCGGACCTTGCTCCTCTCTGCTGAAGTCTGTATTTCTCTCTTCCTACAGTTTCGTGATCAACATGGGGGACTCCAATACAGATACCAGCGCCACTGGGTCTGAGGAAGTGTCTCTTTTCAGCATGACGGACATGATTCTGTTTTCACTCATTGTGGGTCTCCTGACCTACTGGTTCTTCTTCAGAAAGAAAAAAGATGAAATCCCGGAGTTCACCAAAATTCAAGCCACGTAAGTGATGCTGTCGGGATCTCTCTTCTTCAGCGTTCTGGAGCTCTGGGGCTCTTCTGGCAGTCCGAGCAGCATTCTGTACTTGGGCCTCAGTCAGGAGTGAGCCAGCAGGAGGGACACAAGTTCCCTGAAGCATCTGGGGATGAGTATTGGCTTTTGCCCTATAGGTAGACTATGCTTCAAGTTTGTTTTATGTTTTCACAGCACTTTAGAGTTATGGCTATCTGATTTGAACTTCACAGGGACCATTCAGAGTAGAAGGTACCGTTTTACCGATAGATAACCTGAGGCTCAGGGGTGTTACAGATGCTGCCTGGGATCATCTGCACAAGGCAGAGCTGGAACTGGCACCATCCCAGCCTGTGATCTCTCTGTTTACCCTCAACATGATGAGACCTTGGTTCTTGTCTTCTTGAAGGAAAGATTTCAGATGAGACAAAATGCAGCAAAGCAAGCAAGAATTTATTGGCTACAGCAAAAACACACTTGGGACAGTGAAATAAGGAAGGGCATAGAAAAAGCAACAGGAGAGACCTAAGTTGGGAGTGGGGAAGGGAGCTGCTGTAGCTCATGGGGAAGTCAGAGTAAAGGGGGTCTTGGAGACAGGTTCAGGGGGTTAGCCCAGAATGAGCTACTCCTGCTGGGTACTTTGCATTGAGGATATTCTCTCTCTTGCAGGTGGAAATCTTAGGGGAAGTCTCAGGGAAGGGTCTCAATAGAATATTCATTAGCTTTCCAAGTGTGCTCTTTCAGGGTCATGGGCGGATTGGTTGGAGCCAGGACATGGGTGATTAGTCAGTGCAGCTGTCTGAGGCAGCCATGGTGTCAATTGTCTGGTTTTGCTGCTACTCTGGGCCTAGAGCTGAAATACAATTGAGGCCTAGATGTCATCTCTAGGGGGAAAAAGTCAGGGGTCTAAACCACATGACTTGCTGATATGAAAGTTCAAACCAAGCACATGACCGGTGATATGTTAGGTGAAGAAAGGTTACCCTGGGAGAAAATATTGTTTCCCAATTTTGTCCCTTGATGGTGACCTTTTGTACCTGGCCCATCGTCCATGCTCTGCTCATGTCTGTCTAGCTGCTGTTACATTTCCATTTTGTAAACAGACTGGATCATAGAGGTGCTATTGACACAGAACCATAAAGCAAGGCAGTTACTTTGTTTAGAATTTTATTTCAGTTCTTTTCACTACCCACATGAAGAAAGTTGCAGTTTGGTGCTAATATGTCCTTAAATCTAACAGTTGCTAGTTTCTTTTTGTAAGTGAAGAGGGCTGTTGCCAGCTTAGAATTTTGGAGGGTGACACTTAGAAGAGGAAAACTATTTTTCCCCCTCAACTCTCAATACTCCCTACATCAAGCAGTTCTCAAACTCTCCTCACACCAACTGTCTCGAGTTAGATCCCACAGGTTAAAGGCTCAGTCCCATATGACTCCCTGCCCCCTTCGGATGCCAATCGAAAGTCCAGTTTGTCACCTGTGCTTCTGATCAACCAACTACAAACCAGAGGTTCCCATACTTCCTCCTCAGGGTTGGTTAATTTGCTAGAGTGATTCACAGAATTCAGGAAAGCAGTTTACTTACTACGTTACCAGTTTATTATAAAAGTATATATAACAGTATATACTTATTATATATAACAGTACATATTTATTATAACAGTAGATGGAAAAGGTAAGTAGGTCAAGCGATTTCCTCTCCAGGTGCTCCTTCTAGCACTTTCACCCGTTCAGCAACCCTGAGGCTCTGCAAACCCTATTCTTTTGGGTTTTTATGGAGGCTCCATTATGCCTACATTGGGGATTAGTTCAATCTCCTGTCCTTCTCCCCTCCCCAGAGGTCAGGGACGATGCTGAAAGTAAATCTCAGGGTTGGTTCCTTTGGCTACTAGCCCCATCCTTAAGTGCTTTCCAAAAGTCACTTCATTATGAACTCAGGTGTGGTTGAAAGGGGTTTGTTAAAAGTAACAGAAGATACTTTTATCGCTCTTATTACTTAGGAAATTCTAAGGCTTTTAGGAGCTCTGTGCCAGAAACAGGATGAAGATGAAATGTGTATTTTAAAAAATATATCTATTTTTATTGATTTCAGAGAGGGAGAGAGAGAGAGAGAGAGAGAGAAACTCAATGATGAGAGGGAATCATTGATTGGCTGCCTCCTTCATCCTCCCTCCTGGGGATCGATCCTGCAACCCAGGCATGTGTCCTGACCAGGAATCAAACCACAACCTCCTGGTTCATGGGTTGATGCTTGACCACTAACCATACTGGCCGGGCTGCATTTTTAAAAATATATATTTTATTGATTTCTTACAGAGAGGAAGGGAGAGGGATAGAGAGTTAGAAACATCTATCAATTTCCTCCTGCACACTCACTACTGGGGATGTGCCCACGACCAAGATACATGCCCTTGGCCAGAATTGAACCTGGGACCCTTGAGCCTGCAGGCCGATGCTCCATCCACTGAGCCAAACTGGTTAGGGCAAGGGCTGCATTTTTTTATGTTACACTATCACAGGCAGTATCCAGCCTGACTTTACTTACAGTTTTTAATTTTTTTAGCCTTCCATAAAACTTCCTTTTAATAAAATTTAATTAAAAAGATGACTTAGTTAAAAAAATAGTAAGGAAGTAAGAGTAAAGATGATTTTTAGGTATGAAAAAATAATGTACACCATAGTCTCCTCAAGCTTGAGTTCCATATCATTCCTGCACCAGGTCATGTTCTTTTAGGCAGGTTTGAGTGGGTCCGCCAGGCCAGGCTCTGTGCTGAGAGAACCCAGGGCACAGCTCCTTGGGGATCCAAGGAACAAGTTTCAGGTGCAGAAGATGGGGCTGTGCTCAGGTCAGAACTCCAAGGGTTGGGAACCTGTCAAGTCCTAATTCCCTATTCCACTTTTGGTAACTGTTTTCTCTCCCAGAAAAGTTATAGTCCTCCAGCTTGAAAGCAGATATTCGGTGAATACAATTTATTAAATCCTCACTTAATACTGTTGATGGGATAATGAAACCAGTTTTGCCACAGGCTTGATAAAAACAAGAGTTAAGTTCCTAGAGCATCTCATTAATATTAAAATTATGTTGAATGAAACAACATTACTCAAGGCCCTACTTTACCACTAACAGGGCATTAGTTTTACATTTATTTTATTTTATTGATTAAGGTATTACATATGTGTTCTTATCTTCCCATTGTCTCCCAACCCCCATTCATGCCCTCACCCCCCTGGTGCCTGTGGCCATTGGTTAGGTTTATATGGATGCATACAAGCCCTTTGGTTGATCTCTCCTTCTTACCCCCACCCTCCCCTACCTTCCCTCTGAGGTCTGAAAGATGCTTCTCTGTCTCTGGATTTGTTTTTGTTCATCAGTTTATGTTGTTCATTATTTTCCATGAATGAGTGAGATCATGTGATATTTACTTTCTCTGACTGGCTTATTTCACTTAGCATAATGCTCTCCAGTTCTATCCATGCTGTTGCAAATGGTAAGAGGTCTTTCTTTTTTATGACAGCATAGTCCGTTGTGTAGTTGTACCACATTACTTTTACTTTTTTTAAAATTTAGCAAATATTTACTGAGGCCCTACTAAGTCCTAAATAACCATGAATAAAATAGATGAAGTCCTCATGTTTATCAAGCTTGCAGATCCTGGGCAAGACCTTTAACCTCACTCTGCCTCAGTTTCTTTATCTGCCAAATGGAAACACTAACCCCGATCTCATGGGGCTCTTGCAAGTATTAAGTGGGATAATGTTTATGATGGCCACCTAGCATTATTCCATGGTAGCTGCTTAGTGTTTATGTCAGAATGTATTTTGCACCAAGCCCTAGCTAGGTGCTATAAGAAAAGAGGTGGCGCCGAAACCGGTTTGGCTCAGTGGATAGAGCGTCAGCCTGTGTACTGAAGGGTCCCGGGTTTGGTTCCGGTCAAGGGCATGTACCTTGGTTGTGGGCACATCCCCGGTAGGGGGTGTGCAGGAGGCAGCTGATAGATGTTTCTTTATCATCGATGTTTCTACAGTAGTTCTCTATCACTCTCCCTTTCTCTCTGTAAAAAATCAATGAAAAAAAAAAAAAAGAGGTGGCATTTACATTATAGAAGTTGATTTTTTAATTTAATTTAATTTTATTTTTTACAGAGAGGAAGGGAGAGGGATAGAGAGCTAGAATCGTCGATGAGAGAGAAACATCGACCAGCTGCCTCCTGCACACCCCCTACCGGGGATGTGCCCCCAACCAACGTACATGCCCCTGACCAGAATCGAACCTGGGACCTTTCAGTCCACAGACCGATGCTCTACCACTGAGCCAAACCAGTTTTGGCAACATTTATAGAAGTTGAGAAGTGAGGATGTTGAAAAGGACTTTTAACAAGTGATTTATGAAGCACTTTCATGTGCATTATCTAATCAGGGCCTGTGCAATAGAACTGTATGCTAGACCGGGTGGGCGGCCTCAGAGAAAGGCCACCAATGAAGAGGATGTGGGGGAGAGGGAGACGCTGGCTGCCAGAATTGTAAGAGAGGTCTTCCCCCTGGTGGAGAGACTGAAAAATGTGCTGTGGGAGGTGGTATTGCAAATGTCCTAAAATGTGGTGATGCATCCAGAGGCTGAGAGGATTTTGACATCAGAGGGCCAGAGGAAGGACAGGAGGATGGGTAGGTGAGCCGGAATTCAGCCTGTTCCAACTGGGGCTGATTCAGGTGCATTTCTGGTATAGCAGCGCATTTTTGGTGGGAAAAAATATCAAGATAAGAGGACCAGCATCCAGTTCCCAGCTTACAGTAGCCCTGCGTTTCCTCATCTGTAAGTAGAGGTGCACCCCCCACACCCACAGTGAGTGGATATGGATGTTCCATGGGAGCACATGGAACTGCTGTTCTCCCGTCACTTCTCTTGCCTTGCAAGATGGACTTGCAGTAAAACTCCTAGGCTGTGGGAGCACTTGCATTTTGCAGATTCTAGTTGTTTCTCTTTGCCAGGATACTGAAACTATAGTTCCCTCTTCTTGATCATAAAATTTTAAACTTATATATGTAGTGTTCTACACTGTACAGTGTAGAACATTTCCCAACATCATTATATCATGTTGAATATTTGCTATGGCCAGGGGTTTTATAAAGGGAAACATTTATAGTATAGTGGCTAAGTTCTGGGCCCTTACAATTGAGTGACTAAGGTTTGAATTCTGACTACAGATGAGCATGAGATGGGTGGCAGCCAGCCCTCATCCAGTGGGCTCAGGCCCCGGCTGCTTTACTCCTCCTCTGCTGTGCTTGGTGCTCTGAGAAGCACTGTAGTGCACCCCCAATCCTGACCCCCCACCTCTGCTTCATTTCTGGCACCTAAGCGTGCTTTAAAGAAAAAGCAGCTTTTTATTATGGAACATTTCAAATAAAAACCAAAGCAGTTATCCTCTCCTCACCAGTCTTGTTTCTTTCACCTCCACTGCTCTTTGATTCTCTTAGATAATTCATATAATTTATAAATAATCATATAATTCATAGAAATGATGAATAAAGAAATTATGATTTTATAGGAAATTGGAAATATTTCTTATGAAATTGTATGGAAATATGCATATATTTTAGTCTTCTAAAATTTAAGGATTTCAGAGAGGAAGGGAGAAGAAGAAGAGGGAGATAGAAACATCATTGATGAGAGGGAATCATTGATTGGCTGCCTCCTGCATGTTGGACCAAACCCATAATTCAAGCATGTGTCCTTGACCAAAATTGAATCTGGGACCCTCCGGTCCGCAGGCTGACGCTCTATCCACTGAGCCAAACCAGCTAGGGCAGGAAGCCCCTTTTAAAACAGAACTTAATGTCATACTCCTGAAAGTCAACAGTAAGCTCTAGTATTGTTAGATACTCAATCTGCATTTGTTCATAGTTCCACGATTGACTGAAGTTTAAAGTTTTTTTAAAATTAGGATCTAAGCAAGACCCATACATTATGATCCTATCTAATAAAAGAGTAATATGCAAATTAACCCAACCAAGATGGCTGTGGCCATGGAGAAAGCAGGAGGGAGACTTGGGTCTCCCAGGCGATGGAGGAAGCCAAGCTTCCTGCACACGCGGCTGGCGCAGGCCTCCGGTTAAGGCTACAAATTTCAATTATAGAAGGTGAACAAATCCAAACAGAAATGGCTGCCAGCTAAATAGCGAGCAGGAGGCTGGCTCCACTCCAGGCTACAAGTTTCTTTCTTCCTTTCTTTCTCTTTCTTTCTTCCTTTCTCTCTCTCTCTCTCTCTCTCTCTCTCTCTCTCTCTCTCTCTCTCTCTCTCTTTCTTTCTCTTTCTCTCTTCTCTCTCTTTCTCTCTTTCTCTCTTTCTCTCTTTCTCTCTTCTCTCTTTCTCTCTTTCTTTTCTCTTCCTTCCTTCCTTCCTTCCTTCCTTCCTTCCTTCCTTCCTTCCTTCCTTCCTTCCTTCCTTCCTTCCTTTTAAATATATTTTATTGATGTTTTTACAGAGAGGAAGGGAGAGGGATAGAGAGCTAGAAACATCTATGAGAGAGAAACATCGACCAGCTGCCTCCTGCACACTCCCTATTAGGGATGTGCCCACAACCAATGTACACGCCCTTGACTGGAATCGAACCTGGGATCCTTCAGTCCACAGACCGACGCTCTATCCACTGAGCCAAATGGGTTTTGGCTACAAAATTTCAATTGTAGAAGATAAATAAACCCCAGATACAAGGGCCGCCTCTTGGATCACTGTGGAGCATGGCCACCCTGCAAACCATCACAGGCCTCTCGCCCAGGCCACCCCACGCCCCAAGGGAACCCCCACCCTGATCCGGGACACTCTTCATGGCAAACAAGCTAGCCCCCACTCATGCACCAGGCTTCTAGCCTATTTAATAAAAGAGTAATATGCAGATAGACCATCACTCCAAAACACAAGATGGTTGCCTCCATGTGGTCAAATATCCTGCCCCCATGTGGACACAAGATGGCCACCACAAGATGGCTAGCAGGGGAGGGCAGTTGGGAGGGATCTGGCCTGCAAGGAAGGGCAGTTAAGGGCTACCAGGTTGGCAGAGGAGGGAAGTTGGGGGCAAACAGGCTGGCAGGGGAGCAGTTAGACATCAATCAGGCTGGCATGGGAATGGTTAGGGGGTGATCAGGCTGGCAGGCAGAAGCAGTTAGGGGCAATCAGGAAGGCAGGCAGGTGAGCAGTTGGGAGTCAGCAGTCCTGGATTGTGAGAGGGATGTCTGGTCATTTAGGCCTGATTCCATCGGACATCCCTCAAGGGGTCCCAGATTGGAGAGGATGCAGGCTGGGCTGAGGGACAACCCCCCCGCCCCCCCCCCCACTTGCACAAATTTTGTGCACCAGGCCTCTAGTTGATTAATAAATCTTATAGGGCTTTTGGGGACAGGAACAGTCAACATGCAATAAATTTACCTTCTAAGAAAAATTAAGTAAAATTCACTATTTAAATGTACAGTTTGATGAGTCCTGAGATGTGTGCAAGTGTATAATCAGTATTACAACCAATATACAGAATATCCCATCATTCCCAAAAGCTCCCACAGGTCCCTTGCAGTCAGTACCGACCCTTCTCTACCTCAGCAACCACTGGTCTTATTTTGGTCCCTGCAGTTTTGCATTTTCCCAAATGTCACATAAGCGGTATTATGTAGCTATGGCCTTTTGTGTATGGCTGCTTCTTACTATGGCAGGAAGTCTCTCAATTCAGGGGCTTTCCTTCTGTCCATTTTTTCCTTGAAGCATTTTTTAATAAACCAGATAATTTATTTCAGAGTTTCCCACAGTCTGGATTTTGCTGATTGCATCCCACAGGGGGTTGCTTGTGAAAAGCCACAAAAGAGCTCATGTTGCTGTGAGTTGTATCTGGGGACTTACTCTGGACAGAAGGTCCAGGAAAGCCAGGAGTCAAGGCTGCTGGCATCGTTTCTATTCAGCTTTGTCTTTTGAGTGTCGACAGGTAGAAAGTGAGCTAGAGTTCTTTCCACATCTAACTTTCTATAGAGAGTTTCTTGGCTCTGCCAAACGCAAACAGAAACAGAATGAGTTTACCCATTGTCCGTGGTAATGGTGAGGAAATGGGCTCCGGATGCTCACCCTGCCCTGTAAGCTCTGGCCAGGGTTTTCCTCTGATACCTGGCCACTAAGGGACTTCACCTGCCTTTCCTTCTTTCCTGTTCTCTGATGAGATGGCTGGTTTTGCTCTGCTTGCTCGTGTCTACAACTTCGATGGTACCGTGTCTACGAAAGTGATGCAGAACTGAACACAGGTGGATCTGTTTCAGTGAAAAATATCATCATAATAAAAGGGTAATATGCTAATTAGATCAGATGTCATTCTGGATGCCTTTCCTGACAAAGCTGGGGCCTAAGGGAAGCCAGCCCAGGTCCTGGGTGCCTGCGGGTGGCCTGAGGGAAGCCAGCCTGGTTCCATATGCCAGAGAGAAGCCGGTGCCAGCAGCCGGGGGAAGGAAGGCCTACTCTTGCACGAATTTTTGTGCATCAGGCTCTAGTATGTATGTGTGTGTGTGTGTGTGTGTGTGTGTGTGTGTATATATATATATATATATATATATATATATATATATATAAGCTCCTTGAATACTAGCTGGCATACAGCAGGCACTCAGTAATAGAGATCCCATTTGCTTTTTGTGTCTTTGACCCATGGCCTTCCACACCTGCTTTAACCTCCAACCTGCTGAAGGCTGCTGTCTCAGGAGGCACCTTCCACACTGCTCTCCCATCAGTGCTGGTTTCCATTCAGGTCCCATCAGTGGAGAGAGCTACAGTGTTTTTTATTTAAGCTCCAGAAAACTACTTCATTTTCACAAAAGTCAGCTCTTTCAAACTAATAGCTTTCTGCCCCAAGGACTACCCATGGTAGAGAACTCTGGGCCCTCGTGGAGCCGCTTCCCACGGTAGAAGCCTCAAAGTCTAAGCTTGTTCCATGCTGGCCAGCACCATCGTGTGTGGTGTCTCAGCTCTCAGCCTCTCTCTGACTAGGGGACCTGCTACCCTGGGGCTTGGAGAAGGTGCCATCACACACTGGCAGTGGAAGGGAGCTGTTCAGAAGCATCTGCCCTGTGTGTTGCCAAGGGCAGGAGAAAGTCCCAGAAGAAATCAGTTTGGCTGTGCAGAAAATTAAATTTGAGTTGCAGTTTTCAGAAATCCTGAGCGTTGTCTGAGACTGGAAACAAATGAATCACACTGGGACGTCTTGGTTCATCTCTGTCCAAGTGACTCAGTGCTTTTGTCCACCCCCCTTTCATCGTTCCCACAGAGAGGGCTCCAGTTGACTTCTGAAGCCTGAACCAGAGACTCCTGCTCCCAATTTAGGAGTGGAGAGTCCTAATTGGAACCGTTTGTGCTCCTTTCGGGAGCTGTGTGGTCTCTGGGTTCATAGCCTGGGCCAGCTGTGGCCGCTTGCTTTGGGGTGTTTACACTGGGTTCTTTGAAGGGGCACTCCTTTAGGCGAACCATCTCAGCAGCGAATGTAGTGCCCACCTTGCCAGGCAGGCCCCCACCGCGCATGGGAGGGTAAGATGTGCTGGTTTCACAGCGCACATGCTCCAGGTGACAGACTAAGACTAGTCTTAGGCTGTTGCCCTCATTCTTTTGTGGGGAGAAAAACGGGAACCAGATCTAATTTAATATGATCCTGAGGCACCCTGGCAGTGGGATCAATGCAGCTTCCTTTATGGAGAGACGGCCCTGCCATAGCAACCTGCACAACTGCCTTCTAGCGTCTAGAAGAGCTTTATTCAGCCTCCATGAGTTCCTTTTATTTTATTTTTTTTCAAATGGGAAAGGAAAGGAGGCGGCTGTGGAGAGAAAGGGCTCTGATATAAACAGTTTCCAAGGAGACCCGAGGATTGGGGTTGGGAAGGTTTTCTCCTTCCCTCCGTCCATACCGAAGGAGGAGGGGGGTGTGCCCAAACGCAGGGGATCATGGGAGATTTCAGCCCAGAGTCCTGGTTCCTCCCTGCTGGAGCTGCCAGATGTGCTCAGGCTAATGGGGACGGATGCACGCAGGGGCTCAGCCGAGATTCCAGAGGACTTTGGGGTGTCCAGGAGCACTTTCCAAGTTAATGGGCCGAGCCCTCTGTAGAGGATGGACAGACCCCGACTTCCTAACTGCTGGCTCCTGGCCTGTTTCCAGGAGAGAGCTACAACCTGCTTTCTTCCT